GGGTTTAGGGGTTTAGGGTTGAGTGCCTCTGATGTTGAAAAATCCCCGAACTCCGAAGTTTGGGATCTATCGTCTTCTGACATCACAAGACTGTAGATTGGGGCGTGGCTTTTTGAGGCAAAGGGCCAAGCCTCGCCTACTGCATGTTGTCAGAGTATTGGGTCCAGGGTCATGGCTCGGACGAAGATGGGGGACAGCATGGCATCCAAATCGGCGTCGCAGATTGAAAGCCAACATATTGAATTCAGCGTAGCACCACTTTCTACACCAAGCGAAACCGTGGGTTCAACGCTGCTAGAGATTCTGGTTGTGAAGATCTGAACTTAACAGCCGTCCCAAACTCCACCCATCCCCTGATACCTAGCTGCGAAACCCTGGATTGCTGACAAGGGCCCGTAACGGAACAAACCCCACACCATTTCCGTCCGACCTTGAGAGGAGCCCCCACCCAAGGAGGACGAGCCAGCACAACAGGAGCTACTGCAGGCGCAGAGCCTATAGGGCCGTGTTTGAGGAATTGGGGGTTGGTAATGTAGGGGCCTTAATTACCAGCTATACTATGTTGGGGGTTCCTTGTTNNTTCTAATTATTAAGGCCCCTATGCTGGAGATTAGGAGTTAGGGCTTTGCGGGTTTAGGGTGGTGGGTGTAGGGCCTAGTGGGGAACCGTGCGTGCTCTTGTACCTTTCTGTTTATGGAGGCATCTAGGTCAGGTCCTGTAATGCAGAAAGTACCTCCCGGAGCCACTGCTTGGGTGTTCGGATTGCTTCCGCTTGCCGGCGTAACTTTCGCAGATCACTTAAACCCTAAACCCGAAAGCCCCAAACCCTAAACCATAATAAACCCTAAACCCTAAAACCCTAAACCCTAAACCTTGAAACCCTGAAGCCCTAAACCCCTAAACCCTAAAACCCTGAAGCCCTAAACCTTGAAACCCTGAAACCCTGAAACACTAAACCCTAAAACCCTGAAGCCCCAAAATCTTAAAGCCTAAAACCCTAAAACCCCAAAACCCTGAAGCCCTAAACCCTAAAACCCTGAAGCCCTAAACTGTCTAAAACCCTAAAACCCTGAAGCCCTAAACCCTAAACCCTACACCTAAAACCCCAAAACCCTGAGGCCCTAAACTCCTACACCCCTAAACCCCTAAAGGCCTAAAACCCTGAAACCCTAAACCTTGAAACCCTGAAACCCTGAAGCCCTAAACCCTAAAACGAGCTAAGGCACCATCCCCCAGGGCGCGGCTGACACGGCTAGTGGCGGTCTGCAAGGCGTGATCCCTGGGTTTGGGGTTTAGGGTTTAGGGGTTTAGGGTTTAGGGTTTGGGGTTTAGGGTTTAGGGTTTAGGGTTAGGGGTTAAGGGTTTGGGGTTTAGGGTTTAGGGTTTAGGGTTAAGTGTTAGGAGTTTAGGGGTTTGGGGTTTAGGGTAAGGGGGTTTGGGATTTAGGGGTTTAGGGTTTAGGGTACCCAAGATTCCTAAACTTTGCGGCCGAGTGCCAATTGAGATGGGCTTCACGGCAAACAGCCTTTTACTAGAAAAGCACCATGTCTCTGAACCTATGTGGTTCCTTTAGGTTGATACTTGCGGGAGTATATGACTATTAGGTACTTGGACCCTCAGGGTTGGATCCAGCTCAAAACGGTTGCGCGCAGAGCCAGCGTGCAGGATCTCGGATGAGTATAGGGTTGCTACAGGGGTGAGTATATGTAATGGTTTCAAGGTTTAGGAGGGTTACTACATATACAGCAAACCCCCAGAAAGTTGGAACATGGGTTTGGGAGGATTAGTGCTAGAACCCCTTCTACTTTACCTCAAGTAGGGCATGAGGATAAAAAGATGTTCCAACTTCCTGGCCTCTACTGGGATGAAAAGTTTAGGGATTTTTAGGGTTTAGAGTTCCTGTTTGAGTGTGTGCGGTCTCTAGCAGGTGTAGGGTTCGTATGTCTGAAGGTTACATCGGGATCGGGTCTGGGGATTTGGCTTATAGCAAGCCCTAAACCCGACAACCTGAATTGAAAGGGGCCAGAAGGAGAACCCTACCTATAGGCTCCATTGCAGTTCCTTTTTGGGGCTGCCTTATAGTATTCTTAGTATATAATTGGTTAAACCAAAAAAAGGAACTACAATGGAGACTATATATAGGTATAACACAAAATCAAAATCGCAAACCCTAAACCCTGAGTGGCCTCCACTTCAACAGGAAGTTGCGGGGCCGGGCGACATCGTGGGAGCAGTTGCCTGCCTGGCATCTGGGCCGCAAAGTCTGAGCCGTGCGACACTGCTAGGATTGTAAAGCTTCATGTTTTGAGCTGGACATCTAGGAATCTAGGAAGTTGCAGGATGCCGAGAAGGACTAGGTTCGGCCAAGTTTTGGGGTGTTGGTGTTGTAAAGATCAGGCTTGGGAGTCAAAGCTTGTAAGCTTGAGATTCGTGGCCGGGGGTTCGCATTGTCCGGGTGGGAGTTTTTGTTGGGTCGGTTAGTGTGCAGGGTACCAGATAGCATGATGAGATCTGGCTACGCGGCTTACACCGCTTAGGGGTTCAAGGGCGTTTGGTTTAGGGCAGTTTAGGGGTTCAAGGCCTGGGCTTTGGTAGAAGTGAAGGCTACTGGCTGCAAATGCAGGAAGCATGGTTCGAAAGAGCCAAAAGCGGGCCAATTGATGGGAAGGCCATCACACCAATGCCTGGGCCAACGAGCTCCCCAAGACTGTAAGAAGGCCTCGCCAGCTCTGAGGAGTGGTAGGCACGAAAAGGCATGCATGGTATATGATGTCCACGTAAAGGCACCGACGGCCAGACGAAAGCCGTGCTCGTCAGCACCACCCCTGGCCCTAAATAGAGCTTAAATCCTAAACCCGAAACCCCTAAACCCTAAAGAACGCCGTAAACCCCCAGATCCCTGAATTGACCCAGAAGCTCGAAACTCGTATAAATGGTAGCAAGCAAAGACTCTGGGAGACGCAGAGAAAGAACTAGAAAGCGTTTAGGGTTTAGAGTTTAGGGGTTTGGGGCTTAGGTTTATTTTAGGGTTTAGGGTTTAGGGTTTAAACCCGAGAAAGACAAGAGAAGACCCCTGATAGCAAAAAAGCTAGAAAGCTCTTAAACCCTGAATCCTAAACCCTAAGCCCCGTACCACGGGATGGGGCAGAAGCAAAAATGGGAGCCCTAAACCCTGAAGCCTAAACCCTAAACCCTAAACCCTAAACCCTAAACCCTGAACCCTAAATCCTGAAGCCTAAACCCTGAACCTGGAGCCCAAACCGGTCCCAGCGAGACCGGGGTGCCTAGTTCAGGCCATCGATGCACGAGACGCCGGTTTTAGAGAGGCCTTAACAAGCAGAATAGGGTTTTGGGGGGTCCATATTATGGTTATAGGGTTAAATACCCCCACTAATTAATAAGGCCCCTATATTAGCTGTCTCAAACCCTCAAACATGGTACTAGAACAGCGTTGGGAGTATGGCTCAAGGGTTAGAAGGTCGTTTTACTGTACTTTCACAGCCTTTTTCGGCAGTCGAGATTTCTCAAGCTGTGAAGCCCCTCTAAAGTTCTAAAGCCTAAACTCCAAACCCCTAAACC